ACTGTGAATGTTTACATGGTGTGTTACAATTAAAAATATGAAAACATATAATTGTTTGTGTGGTTTTAGCTTAAGCAGACTGTGTTTGTCTATTGTTGTGACTTAGATGAAGATCAGAACACATTTTATGACCAACTTATGCAGAAATCCAGGTAATTCCAAAGGGTTCACATTACTTTTTCTTGTAACTGTATAATACAGCTTTAAACTCTCCAACAAATGTCAACATTGGTCTATAAATACTAAATCGTTTTTTATTTTTTTATTTGGGTGCGTTCACACCTGCCTTGTATAGTCCGGTTGAATCGAACCCTGGTGCGTTTAGCCGCTTGGTGCGGTTCATTTGGGTCCAAGACCTCTTAATTGAAATAAACAACCGGACTCTGGTCCGCTAAAATAGGTGGTCTCGGAGCGCTTGCTTGCGAACTCTGGAGCGGTTCATTGCTGGTGTGAACGCAGTCCGCACCAAAACATAGGAAGCGTAGTATTCACGTGTCACAAGAACGTGGATGTTTTCTTTAGCGAAAGAGTCTTTCAAGACATCCGCGGTTGTTTAGTTAAAGAGTGAAGCAGAATGAAGTGTTGAACAGTGTCGTGTAAAGTAAAAATTATCCGTCAGCTACATAAAAGTAAGAACACCTGTCGTCAGTGAAATGCCCCTCCTTACTGCATAACGTTTCTCATTATATGTGTTATTATGTTTTTTAACGGACGTTGTCTGATTATATAATCATATGCGCGGGCCACTAGTGTCTGTTGATCTCCAGATTAACAGCAGCATGAGAATAACCTGCCGAAAGTGCCGATGCTCCATGGCGGAGGCTCCGGTAGAAATTGCCGGGATTTGCATTTTTACCCCCTTAATGTCTGACCAATGGTTGAACAGCATTTCCGTGCACATGACTTGTGTTTAAAGTTTATAGTCCTTTTGAGTTTTGCCCGTGTGAACGCAAACCAAACCTTCTGAAAAATGAAACAATGTACCAGAAAACGGACTATTAGGTGTGAATGCACCCTAAAATAAAAATAAAATCTATTAATTCTGACTTTTCTACATCCAACTCACAGGTTTATCGTTGCTTTGAGGAAAAAGATTATTAATTTAGCCCTTTTAGAAGTGAAGATATAGTCATTTGTTCTGGGAACGTCCTTTTCGAGCCTGAGACATGGAAAACAGGCTTTGGGCTTAACTGGTTAGGTCAAACCAGTTGTAGCAATACATTTGAAATAACACGGATGAATACAAAAATAGTTTAATAATATGACAAATAGCAGTATAATATTGCCTCATCAGCAGGTTCATCTCTTACATCCTGGAAGTGAAGTCTGCTCTCCTGACCAGAGACCTGCTGACCTCAGATACAGAGCGACAACCTACACACACACACACAAACTCTCTCTATCTCTCTCTCACACACAGACACTCTCTCTCTCTCTCACACACAGACACACACTCTCTCTCACACACACACACACACACACACACACACACACACACACACACACACACCATAATTTGTAGACATATCAACTATTTTTCTAATTTCTGTGTGTGTGAGTGTGTTTGTTACCTGAGAGAGCCATAGCCAGTCGTAGCTCCTCTTTAAAAAGTTCCAGGATCTCTGTCACTCCCTGTTCCCCCTGGATACACACACAATCTTTATTTATCAAATCTTAATGAAATTAAAGTCTAAGAGCATGCGATTTTAGTTTGGACAAATAAATAAAAATAATAAAATGTGTCAAAAATTCACTGAGAAATTAAGTTTCACTTTATGATTATGAGTGTTTGGGGGCGTGGCTCTGCACCTGACAGGTGAGCCCCCACAGCACGGGGCGGCCGATGAAGACTGCCTTGGCCCCCAGAGCTAAAGCCTTCAATACGTCTGACCCCCGCCTCACTCCTCCGTCCATGAAGACGTCACAGCGCCCCTGCACCGCCCCTACCACCTCCTCCAGCACATCCAGCTACACACACACACACACACACACACTCATTTATTTCACAATAAAGTATGGAGGGATAATTCCTCCATACATTTTTTTGTTTGTTTTTGGTTGAATTCTCAAAATAAGGCCTGTGGTTAGTGCAAGTTGTACAAATGTTCCCATTTTGTTCTTCAGTATAAAAAAAAAACTGTAGATACCCCACAGCGGTTACTAACAAGTGTCTAAATGAGACGACTTAACGTCATCAATCCGAACATTAGCCGCCTTTAGCTTAGCGGTGGTAACGTTAGCCATTGCGGTTGTGCATGTCAATGTTAGCTCTTCACTTATGGCGATTGCATTTATGTTGCAAAAATTAAAAAAGTGGTTTTAATATGTGGAGATTATCCTACTGAACAAAGCATATTAAGTATCATAGACGTATTTTCTGCAAAATCCAATGAGAAGAAACCCACTGCTTATTGTTTAGTGAGGCCTTTCCATGCTAACTTTCAGATGGGCCAACACAAATAAGTAATTACTGCTCCACTCCATATTACAATGTTAATCTTTAGGATTAAAACTAAGCCACTAAAAGAATGTTCTGTGTAACAATTGCCTTCAAATCATGTTTCCTCTGTAACATATGGTTTCACTGTTCCAAACTGCAATAATAAAATAGAAAAACAAATACATACCTCTGCTTGACTGTTTAACTTTGGATACCCTTTCCTGCCCCTTGTTGGAATCGTTTGCCTGTTCACTGAACTTCTGGTTGTGAGCCCTGCCTGCCTTGAATCTAGTAAAGCTACTACACTGTGTTTCTCTGGGCTGTGCTTTTGGGTCTGTCACTTCAAGTCATTACAGAAGTGGCTTTGGACCAGTGGCATAATACCTGCGCTAACCAAACAATTATGTTCTGGAGTGCAGGATTGCTGTAACCATTTAAAGCAAGTGGTTCGGCTCAACTCTACTCAACTCACTTTGGTACCAGGTGTTTTATCAATGTTGTTTTCCTCTGCATATAGTACTCAATCAATGTAGGCAGGATTCCTAACTGCTCTGCATGGCAACGATGTAATGAACTACTGTGACACCATTTTAACCCAACATAGCCCAGCCACATAGCTCCATCAAGTTATTGATGGATCCTTTATTCGAGTCAAACTTAGACATGTAATAATCTGTGTGACAAGCAAACGTTTATGATACTGACACGTTTTGTTCAGCAGGACAATCTTCAAATATTAACATGATTTTTAAAGGTCTACTATTATACAATTTTTAGGCATATATTATAGGTCT